AGAAACGAAATTTCGGTTTTCTTTCGTTCTTCTGGCAGTTGCAGTCCATAATTATATTCGTGGCGTAGACTTTGGCCGCTCGAAGAACAAAGTCGATCTGTCAAACCGGACACCCGGCATTTACACCCGAATCCCATTAGCGACTGTAATTTAACCAAAATTTCACTGTAATAAGTAAATAATTGCGATTAAATTTTTCAAGGCATCGGAATATTGTTTTTCGACTATTATATATAACAGAGGGAAAGTATGGCGATCGGTAAAGAAGTGACCACCTCAGTTTTTACACTTTGCTAACCTTTTTAAATTTTAATGAGCGTAAGTGAAGAATGAACTAACATTGACATTTAAACACTGACGTATTCTGCAAATACATTATTTATTCCGATCTCTTCAATACTCCAACGACAACTTTCTTGTATGACTGATCTACAGAATATTTCCACGTGCCTTGTTCTATCGATCATTATCGATTGCACGGAAGTAGAAGTTCAATTAAGTATGGAATTGCATGATATAATAAATTCAAAATATTTTAAATGGCAGAAAAAAAATTTAATATTTTGATGGAGATAATTCAAATTTTATGTCGTTTCATTCGCTTACAATGCTCTCGATTAACATTAATGCACAGAGTTTACGTAAATATTTTAGTTAAATTGAAAACCTTTTTGTATATGTTATGGGTCTTTGCGAATAACGAGAGAAACGATGCCGCATTCCGATAAATATTCATTCATTTATTTAAAATATTAAACTCAGGAAAAACTGGAAATACTGCTATTTGCATTTACGTCGATTTTCCTTTCGAAACATCGCGGCTGAAGAAAACTGTTCTATGTCATTCCTGTCTGCTTGCAAATGTATTTTTCATCTGCTTCTGCGTTGGCCTCTTCTGTGCCAATTATTACATTTCGCGACAAAATACTCAAAACTACGGACGTAGTCCTACTTACCACGTTTTTCCTTCACGTACTTCGCAGCGTGAAGAGTGCGATCGTTCTCGTTTTCGTCACGTATATTTAAAGAATGAAAGTAACGTCCAGGTTCGTCTGCCAAGAAAAACCATTGAATAATTAAAAATTTCCTTTCAAACAATTTTTCCGGTTCGAAGAATATGAAGTTTCTCAAATTAATAGGATTTTCCTGTTCGAATAAATCAAAATCATTAAAATGGGTGCTAAAATACTTCGTAACAAAGTCATTAGCATATTTATTGCGAAATGAATTTACTTTTAAACATATTACAGGTAAAAACGTACAGAAAGCTAAAATTAAGGGTTGTCTTATACCAATAAATTATGATAATTATAAAATTTATTGTGATACGATATTGTGAAAGTACATATTTTAATTCACGATTAAATGTGTACTAATGTTAATAAATTTGGTTTAATTGCGTGTTTATATTTGTTTTATAAAAAAACACAATAAAAAATGTAGATTCAATTTCTGAAATTTTCTTATAGTTCAATACTTAGTGTAGGTGTAGTTAATATTATGTTATATTGCATTTGTAGGAATTTTTATGCATGGTAAACAGCTAAAAAGGCAAAAAAAGACCATTTTTGGAATCGGGAACAGATTTATCTATTTTATATTGTATTTTATGGAGAAAATTGTTTTAGTTTAAGAACAAGTCGGTTTTTGAACGACATTTTGGAACGAATTAAAGTTTCATTACATTTGAAACAAGTTTCTTTTCATCTTCCTTGATATTTTGTTTATACAAATATTTAATCATTTGTTTTACTGTATCTTCCGTTAACACAATGAATATTATTTCTTAAAATCAAAATCAGAATATTATTTCATTAAACAATGCAATGGTAATAATTACATTTTAACAATAATCGCAAAATTTGTCGTATTTTTTCAAACCAGAAATTGTCACAACTCGAGCGAATGGTAAGTGTCATTACCGAAATTATTTAAACTTGAAAAGACCTTTCGTATTCTTAAATTACGTGTCTTTCAATGGCGGAAAATACAAATTTGTAAAACAATTGTTAAACCGAAACAGTTTCTATTGATCTGGATATTCTAACATAGAAATATAAATAATATATGTAATTATATTAATGTATTTGTTTATAAGGATGTTGCTTCGAGTGACGAAAACGGCGGCATTAAATGCAAGGTGTGCAAAAGTGACTTTTCAAACGAAGTGCAGTTCCTCGAACATCTGAAGGAGAATCCGTGGTGCGAAAGGTTGACTTGTGACGTGTGTCGGAATCAATTTACACGGATCTTCAGTTTGAAAAGACACAAGTTAATACATTCAAACGAAAAGAAATTTAAATGCGAGGAATGTGGTTATTCTACCGGAGTTGAATCAAATTTTAGAAAACACCAAAATAAACACTCGAAAAAAGAACTTTATAAATGTAGCTATTGTAATCGTTCAACTATATGGAAAGAGAGTTTAGACAGACATATTTTGCGAAACCATTTAACAGAATCGAATATAGGCGAAAAAGTAAGTGTTTATTAGGAAATTTTTGAAGGAAATTCATTCTGCATTCGTACAAACAAGTAACACTTAAAACGACTATCAAGAATTTTTAATTAATGTCATTTTCGTATTATCATTTATATTTTTAACTGTTCACATTATTCGTGTTTGTTAGACATTTTTATTGCGTTTTCTTTAATTTAAAAGCAACAAATAAAAAAATTCTATTTCTTTGATTCTAATTCTTGTATTAATCTGTGTATACCTAAAGGTATATTAGTAACGTTTTTCTGTATTATTTAATCTTTTTATACTTTATAAAAAATCGTTTCTATAATATAATTTTGGCTTAGCTTTCGCCGAGATTTCTGGATTTGGAAAAATATCGATGCGAGTTTTGCCGGAAACATTTTCCATCTCCATTCGCTTTAAAACGTCACGAGAGAAGTCATTCGGGAAAAAAACCGTTTCGGTGTGATGATTGTTTTCGAAGATTTACACGACAAAAGAACTTAAATAAACACAAGCGAATAATTCATTCGACAGTAGAAAAACAATTTCCGTCTCAGGTAAACAAAAATATATCTAAATAAGTACAATATCCTAGTTTAAAATAAACAATAAGTTAAAAAGTTGTTATAAGTTTCTATAGTAACATGTGCTAAATCTGCGTATAGAGAATCTTCAAATTGCAAATGTATTAATTTCGCAACTTCTCTGTGAACTATTTTCTGCTTTAATAATATTGAAAATCTATGGCATAAATATAATTTTTAATAATATGGAGTTGATTGGTATGATTCACACTCATTTACAAACGTTTTCACAGTATTAAAGATTCGTGAAGCGATTTAATTATTACTGCTGAGAAAGTGCACCTTTTCCTTTTTTTGTGAAGTTGATACGTTCCAAATAAACAGTGTAAAAAATTCGTATAAATATATGGTACAGTATATGCAACCGGTATGTAGCAAATGAGCCCCAAATCTTCAGTCCCGCTAATGGGATCTGAAGGTACTGCTATACCTGAAAGAAGGATGCATATCACATCGGGGTCCACCATTGGCTAAGCGATTCCTGGCAGTTGGGTCCTGTGTTCGCTCCTCGCCCGAATGGGCTGGCCACGTGGAAATTTCCGGGTTTTCTCTACGTCTGTAACGCCCGAATAGAAGCCACTTACCCTTAAAAGACTTCCAGGAAGACATCCACCTAGCCATGTGTTTCATTGCCGTAACTTAACAAAATAAACAAAGAAAAATGGGAAATCGTTGGGAAAAAGGTAAACAGTGTCTTTAGATAGAAAGCTTTTTACTGTACTCAAATTTTACAAATGTCGGTGCTATCAAAAGTATACAAATTGTAGCTTATTTTAAACATCGCTGATGGTCCGAAATGATTCACAAACAAAACTATTGCGTAATGTTGAAATAATGTTTAAGTAAAGATTTTTATCGACATTCTATCATTTTTATAGTATTTCTGGTATTAGTTCTTAATTAAATGTAAAAAGCATTATAGAATGATACGTATAAAAGGAATTGCATAATTAACAATATTTTTCAATTGTTTAGAAAACTGCAGGCGAAAGCACTTCAAAATCTTTTAAACACTCGGAACAGAGTGAGGTGCACTCTTCTGCTGAAATCTCAGCAGCAAGTTTCATGCGAGAGGAACATTTTGAAACAAACGACAAAGATAAAAGTTTGCAATCTTCTGAAAGATTATGGCAATGTCATCAATGTATCTTTACTACAAACTCCGAGAAAGAATGGTTCGTACATAAACAGACACACGTCAATGAAGCTCCTTGCACATCAAAGGTATTTAATTGTCGTATTCTGTTTACAAGTTTTAGTACTTTGTAAATAAACATTCAGTTTAAGTTAGGAAAAGACACCAGAACACCCGCCCTTCTATACTATAATTTACTCGTCCATCAAAGCTGGTGTGCGAGTAAATTATAGTATAGGAAAGTTAATTTTTAGTTTACAAAATCTAGTTTTTCACAGTTTTATGATTAAAATGCATTGCAATATACTCATTGTATATGTAATAAGTAAGTGGTGAAACCAGGTTGAAACAGTAGAGCTCGGCAGAAATAAAGGAAACTTGTTCTGGTATAGGAATAGTTGAAGCTCCAGTTAAGAATCTTCAGTTAATTAAATAAAAATTAAGATAAGAATAGTGAAAGCTTTGAGAGTAAGACTGTCGATGTCAATATACAGTAGAGCGTCGTTTATCCGAAACTCTGTTATTCGAAACGTCAGTTATCCGAAAGAATTCCAGTCAGCAAATTTAAATTTTCGCTACTGCTGTGTCGCTGCAATCTTTGGTTATATCTTGGGTTACTCCAAATTTTTTTATGTTTGTGTATNCAGGATCAAATTTGACACGATTCCGATATCTCTTGTTATGTATAGGCACATAAGAACTACAAAAGTAAAAAATGAGACATTATTTTATAAATATTCTATTTTAAAATCATTAAGCTTGTATTAATACATTAAAAGTAATATAGCAAAACGTCACGTTGGGCGGTAGACGATCGAAAAATGAAATGTTCATATTTCAAAAATAGGCTATAATTTTATAAATGCCCATTATTTTTAAATAAAACCTTCAAAAAGACTACAAAAAAGATGGTCAGACCTAGAAAGAACTATTAAGCATACACAGACTCTTTCTAGATTTTTTGGTTGGTTGGTGCGACCAAAATCTATCTCGTCGTAAATCTAGTAGAAAAAGGCTAAATTTGCGATTGTCTAGATCCAGAACATTCCAACGAACTTATAAAAGAACTTAAGATAATCGCCGTTCTAACCGCGAACACTAAATATGTTAAATTTTATCCGAATCGGTTCGTTGGTCTCGGAAATATTAATTGTCAAATTTGGCACTGTAACTTCAGACTGTGGCTGAGCTCTACTATACCGAGGTTATAAATATTACACAATCGGATGAGAGTTTATTAACGATGATACACATTTACTGTTAACTACAAATTAGATTTGAGACTGAAGAAGTGTTGAGTTCCCATTTGTGAATGATAAATTGAATTCTGTTTATATTTCAAAATTGACATTTATTCGAAGGAAACCTTTTCATTTTCTTTTGTATAAAAATTTAATTTAAATAACAATAATTTATATATTCGTTGTTGCAGAAACAGGAAAAAATAGATCCAGAAGTGTTGAGAGCATCCGAAATTCTCATAAACATGAGAAAGAAAAGATTTGAGATGATAAAAGAACAAAAGGAATCGCCTGATTCCGATACTCCGCCAACATTACAATAACCTACGAATGTTAAATATTGATTCATATTTTATACAATTTTTAAAAATTTCAACGAGAGATTCCTCTGAATTCGACATTTAAGACGAATTGAACCTAATGATTTCTGCGATATTTTGACAAAACTTCGTGAACGAAAATAATTCTACGAAATACTGTATAAATCTTATTTTTATTGGAAATTTATTGCAATTAAAATACTTTTTTTTGTTTAAGAATAATTTCTTCACGTCATTAGTGTTTTAATTATAACAATTTGAATATTATTGTATTGATCTTGCCTGATGAAGCATTCCAAGATATCCATATGTCAGTATGAAGTAATAATGAGATAGAGGTCAGCAGTTGTAACGTGAAGTTGGATTAACTTCAGCTCCTGTTCGATCGAGTTTTTATTGGTTTATAGTGCACGCATAGTAATAAGTTATATATCATCGGAATCGGAACTGCGAGAAGTGTCTAACGGTGTTACGTTTGTGACCCTGGGGTCAAATTTTGGGATGATACGAACAGTCAAAAAGTCGCATTTTCGGGGTCCGTTTTTCCGGAAGAAGACNCTCAGCAGCAAGTTTCATGCGAGAGGAACATTTTGAAACAAACGACAAAGATAAAAGTTTGCAATCTTCTGAAAGATTATGGCAATGTCATCAATGTATCTTTACTACAAACTCCGAGAAAGAATGGTTCGTACATAAACAGACACACGTCAATGAAGCTCCTTGCACATCAAAGGTATTTAATTGTCGTATTCTGTTTACAAGTTTTAGTACTTTGTAAATAAACATTCAGTTTAAGTTAGGAAAAGACACCAGAACACCCGCCCTTCTATACTATAATTTACTCGTCCATCAAAGCTGGTGTGCGAGTAAATTATAGTATAGGAAAGTTAATTTTTAGTTTACAAAATCTAGTTTTTCACAGTTTTATGATTAAAATGCATTGCAATATACTCATTGTATATGTAATAAGTAAGTGGTGAAACCAGGTTGAAACAGTAGAGCTCGGCAGAAATAAAGGAAACTTGTTCTGGTATAGGAATAGTTGAAGCTCCAGTTAAGAATCTTCAGTTAATTAAATAAAAATTAAGATAAGAATAGTGAAAGCTTTGAGAGTAAGACTGTCGATGTCAATATACAGTAGAGCGTCGTTTATCCGAAACTCTGTTATTCGAAACGTCAGTTATCCGAAAGAATTCCAGTCAGCAAATTTAAATTTTCGCTACTGCTGTGTCGCTGCAATCTTTGGTTATATCTTGGGTTACTCCAAATTTTTTTATGTTTGTGTATGTGTTTTAGCTGGCAGCACTGTCTCTTTCGTGTTATGTTTTTCTGAGGACTGTGTCATGCAGAATCGAACGTTTTTGATACTAGATAACTTCTAAAGTATAAATTTCTTTTGTTTTTATATTTTTCAATATATTTACTTTGTTTGTAAGAAATAAAGAAATAATTTTTAACGATACAATAGCCACGATTTAAAAAGTTTACATTAGGCTTAACATCGACGAAAATTCAACGCGAAGTGGCACGCAACAAAGAAAAATTTAAACACGAGAGAGGTAAATGTATTTTTTCCTACATAATCGGTTATCCGAGAAATAAGTTATCCGAACAACCGCAGTCCCTAATTGATTCGGATAAACGACGCTCTACTGTAGTTCACATTACATAGACTACAACTACAGTTAGGTTTGGAGGAACAGTCACCTTTATTATGATGTTTCTGTCGAGCTGTAACACATAAGAACTAACAGGCACATAAAAACTACAGAAGTAAAAATAAGACATTATTTTATGAATTTTCTATTTTCAAATCATTAGGCTTGTATTAATAATTTAAAAGTAATCGCAAAACGAACGAAAGTGAAATTTTAATATTTAAAAAATAGGTATAATTTTATAAATACCAAATATTTTTAAATAAAACCTTCAAAAAGACTACAAAAGAAGTGGACAGATCTCGAAAGAACTCAGACTCTTTCTAGATTTTCCGGTAGCTTGGTGGGACAAAAATCTTTCTCATCGTAAATCTAGTGGAAAAAATGCTAAATCTGCGATTGTCTAGATCCAGAACGATTCAACGAATTTATTCAAAATTTAAGATAATCGCAGTTCTCACCGCGAACAATAAATATTTAAAATTGTATCCAAATCGGTTCGTTGGTCTCGGAGATATTAATGGTCAAATTTGGCACTTTAACTTCAGACGCGTGGCTGAGCTCTACTATACCGATGTTATTAATATTACACAATCGAATGAGAATTTATTATCGATGATACCCATTTACTCTTAACTACAAAGTAGATTTGTGATTGAAAAAGTGTTGAGTTTCCATTTGTGAATGATAAATTGAATTCTGTTTACATTTCAAAATTTACATTTATTCGAAAGAAGTTTTTTCATTTTTTATTGTATAAAATTTAATTCAAATAATAATAATTTATATATTGATTATAGGAACAGGACGAAACTGATCTAGAAGTAATCAGAGCATCCGAAATTCTCGTCAACATGAGAAATAAAAGATTGGAGCTGATAAAGAAACAAAAGGAATCGCCTGATTCCGATACTCCGCCAACATTACAATAACCTACGAATGTTAAATATTAATTCATATTCTATACAATTTTTAAAAATTTCAACAAGAGACATTTAAGACGAATTGAACCTAATGATTTCTGCAATATTTTGACAAAACTTCGTGACAAAATAATTCTACAAAATACTGTATAAATCTCATCTTTATTGAAAATTTATTGCAATTAAAATACTTTTACTTGTTTAAGAATAATTTTTTCACGTCATTAGTGTTTTAATTATGACAATTTGAATATTGAACTTGCCTGATAAGGCATTTCAAGATATTCAATATTTAAAAATGAACTAAATAAAGTCACCGAGGTCACTACGACATAAGTGCGATCACCGATCCGAAATCAATAAAACGTTTATTTTAGAGGTAGTATATCGATGAAATAAGTAGTCTATATTCTCCGTTTGTATATGAAACGAATAAAACCAAAATTTTATCCGGATTGGACATAAACTGCAGGAGTTACAAGAAATTCACACACACCTACGACGGCTTTTATATTATTAATACTCTGGGGTATAAAGTTTTATATTATGTATAAGAAGGAGCGCTTGGACAATTTATGCGACAAAATAAATATTCCGTAAAAGAAACGAAATTTCTTTTGTAAAAGTTAGTCCGATGGAGAATTATTTCTAATAAAATAAAATTGAAGACAAAACTGTCCAAAAAGGATCACCATTTATTACTTTTGTTCCAAGACATACACATTTTCGGCGACTGACCTTTCTTTTTAGGCTACTTGTCGCCGGAGTTGGAAAGTTTACAAAAAGTCCTTTTTGTAAACTTTCCAGTTTTGTCTTCAATTTTATTTTATTAGAAATAATTCTCAATCGGACAAACTTTTACAGAAGAAATTTCTACATGTATCGTCATCAGGGGGCAACTTCTCTAAAAATCTACATTTTTCAGCGCTAATCTTTAGTAGATGAAAAGCAAAAGAAACCCCAAAAGAAGGTATGATGGAAGTAAGCAAGACAACACCAGTTCCTTTTTCAGAATTTTTAAAAATTTTAATTGGATGCGTTTTATGTTGTTTAAAAAGACTTTTTGTAAACTTTCCGGCGACAAGTAGCCTAAAAAGAAAGGTCAGTCGCCGAAAATGTGTTAGTCTTGGAACACAAGTTATAATTGGTGATCCTTTTTGGACAGTTTTGTCTATAATTTTATTTTATTAGAAACGAAATTCAGAATTTTTAATACATAAACTTATTTGATATTGTAATACATATGTACAGTACAATAATAGACTTTTCAAAATGAAGAAAATAACAATTTAATTTACAATGTTAAAAAGTTTTCGAAGATGAAGGAAACAAATGCTAATATATCGAAGTGAGACGTCATAAAACCTTATACGTTATCTCCATATCTTTTCAATTTCTACTTATTTGATCTAAATGATTGCTTTAAAAGAGACGAAGATGGGTTTCAAATTGAAAACCAGATTAGACATACTACAGTATATCGTATGCTGATGACATTGTGTTGATAGCTCCTACAGCAGCTGCACTCCGTAGAAAAATACAACAAATCTGTGAGTATTTAGAAAAGCTAAGAGTTAAAATAAATTCCAAAAAATCAACAATTATGATATTTAGAAACGGAAGTAACGTATCCAAAAAGCACATGTCTTTTTTTATTAATAATGAAGAAGTGAAGATAGTGAAGGAAATAAAATTTTTAGAAGTTACATTCACACCTAATCTCTCGTTTGAAAAACACTATAAAAACTCACTAAGTAAAGCAGAAACTGCAATAAATAATTTAATTGGTCTATTCTGTAAGGCAAAAATAAAGAACTTACGTATATATTTTCAACTTTTTAATTCGATTGTGATGAACTCAATGGGATATACTGCCCCAATTTGGAGCATGGAAAAATTTAATGACTGAAAAAATACAGAACATATTTATACGTAAGATATTCAAGCTATAATATAAATATCCCAGTTAGTGTTTTAAGATTAGAAACAAATACATTCAGAATAAATACTATACTAATAAAAAGATATTTAAAGTTTTTACTCAAAATTATTAAGGCTGAAGATATAACAACAAAATTGCTGTTCTTACTATATCACAAATCAAGGGAAACGGACTTAAGACGAAGTTGGATAATTCAGTTATCGAAGATAGTATATAAATATGGATTTTCTGTTAAACTGTTTATGGATCATACGTATGATATGGAGCAGTATAGTAAAGAAATAATACACAGAGTTATGGAATACTCTATTATCCAAGACGTTGAAGATATACAAAAACGAGAAAATACAAGCTGGTATGCGACAATTCTAAATTATCCAGTAAATAACAACTATATATTGACAAATATAGCTTTCAATATTAAAAAGTTTTTTATGCAGATTAGGTTAAATAAAAATGGAATAATTATAAATGACAAATATATAGATTATACCTAATCTAAATGTCCAAATTGTACCAAAAATTTATCTAAAATTCATATTTTGTGAAAATTGTAACGAAAAGGATAAACTACAAAGGCTCCAGATTGGGCCACTGGCTAAATGTACAAGACATTAGATAGAGCTGATGTTAACACGATTTATATGATATATAACTATGTTAAACAACTAATTAAATAGTAATTATGACCAAATATTAATATAATTATATAGATTAGTATATGGTAAATACTAATATTGTTAAAAAATTATTATATGAGATGTTAATATGCGTTTCATCAAAATTAAACGCCCTTGTAACAGGCGAAAGCCTTCTACGCCTATAAAGATTTCTTATTTACTTACTAAAAAAAATTTGTTCATGTTTTAAACCGTATTGGCGACGAAATTAAATATCGAAATGGAAAAGGATTGTCATTAATTGCCGAACAATGGTTTTGACGGCCTTATGATTTTATTTCTGCAAGCTTTCGGAATATAACTGACGACCATTTCTGACGTCACAAACAAATAACCCGATTGGCCGAACGACTGCTAAAACAGGGGAGTAATAGCGAAGTCAGAACCAATGTTTTGCCGAAGTTCAGAAATAGACGATCGTCGTCTTTGCAACGCATTTTAAACCGCGGTTCAGCCAGCCAACGTCTATAGGCCGTTCTGTTAATAAACGTCGTTTAACGTAAACTCTGTCTCTGCAATCCGCTGTTTGAGTCCAAGTTACCAAGGCTTTAAAACTAAATTATGGTATCTTTTTCACTATCACAAGATCATAAAATAATCTAATTAATTGAACTTTGATAATTTGACTGACCTCGTGAAGAACATTATCCTTTTTTTCATAAACCCATTTGAGATAAATATTCATCTGAGGAAAATTTAAAATGCATTAAATTGCAAAAATACACTAAAATTGCTAAATGAGATAGCACTTTAAAATTTCTGCTTTTTACACGGTAGTTTTTCTATATGAACATTTGCAGTGCTGGATGAAGAAAGAAAACAGCTTTTGGCAGTTTTTGCACTTTGATTGCTTATATTTTGGCAAATCGCCTCATAGAAAATCTTTAAATTTTGCGCACTAGCTAAGAAAACAAATCGCTTTTTGAATGACATTTGAAATTACTTTAGACATTTGGGGGTGGAGAAATTGAGCCCCGAAAATTGGCAACTCTTTCCTATTTAGGTATATACAACAAATTAATGTCACTGATTTTATATATACAATATAGGGTCAGCCTTTAGTCAGTCTATGTCAGTGGTGTTTACTTCGCAGGGAGTTACTGTTGTGATTCTTAATAGTGATCCAGCCTAGATAATTTAAATATTAATGCAGGTGAGTTTAAAAACATTTTCTGATAACAGGATTTAACTTAAATGCTTGACATCTAAATTTAAAAAAATTTTAAAACTAACAGTATTTAGATGAAATTCTATTAAGAACCTTTAATTCACATTACAGTCAAACACTTAGTTTTTGAAAATTTTGCAGGGATCTTCTAAAAAACTTGTTATAAACAATAAAACTTATGAATTAAGTGTATTTGAAGTACGGAAATAAAAACACTAAACTGCAGGAGACAAATTACTTATTAACATTTTTAAACAAAATACTAAATTATTGATCAACGTAGAATTATTTTGGTTGGAATAAAATTATTAAAGTGGCAAAAATTGTATTTCTCCCCATTTCAATAATTCTCTGCTACAATTAGCCAATTAAGCAAATTTATTTAGTCAGATCTGGAAAACTATTGTATCTGTCTTTGGGAGCCTTTTAATACTAAAATTTTATTAACAGCTAAATTCACTATTCATATATAAAATTTTAATATCTAGATGATTTTTTACAAAATTTTTACACAAACACTTAAAATTGATCAAAACTATGAAAACACCAAGAATGATTTAGTTCCACCCACTGTTATTGAAGTAAAGTTTTTTAAAACGAGAATATTTTAGAAAAGAAATTCACTTTAAAACAAGATATTCCGTAAATGAAATGCTATTTTAAAATGTATAGATATTTTTGTTATAAAAGTTGCGAGATGAAATCAAAGTTCTTATTTTATGGCAAGGAGACTTTTTGTTAGAAACTAAAGACTACAATTATTCAGTTATATTAAAAAAATAGTAACAATATTCATTCCAAATACTTTAAGGAAATGTCTAATTTTCTAAAAAATGTTTTTTATAAAATATATTTATGGTGTTTACATTTACGTGAATAGCGTGAAACAGATCAGTTGGTTGATTTTTTGTTTGTTGGCAAATTGCTGGTGTAATTTCGCCTTCAGTTGTTGACTATCACTGATTTCTAAAAATACACTTTTTCTATATTTCTTGTAAATTTTCTAGAATTCAAAATTTATAAAAAAAAAGTTGTAAAAGTCAAATTTATTTTTTATTTTAAAAATTTGCAAAATGTAAACAATTACTTACCTGTAATTTATGGTTATCGGCTGAATATTTTCATAACTGTGTAGAGAGATGCTTCCGCCACATAAACAGAGAATAGTGTGCTGGATCATATTTCACAATCGTCATCTCCATTAAATATTTTGCTA